GCTGAACTTGCTTAGGTGCCTGTGAATAAGGTACCTGCTGCTGGAGAGCAGCATGCTGACTATACAAAGATTGCTGTTGATTTGTGGGACCTTCCTGAGTAGACAACTGATGGGTTTCCTGTGGTTGTCTATGAGATGAATGCGTCATCTGCTGCTGCTGCTGAATGAAAGCTAAGTGAGAAACCTGGCTTGGTGCTAGATGTGATTGGGAAAGCTATGCTCAGAAATGTGTGGGCTGGATCTGTGCCTGTGAAGAGGCCCGCTGAATAAAGGTCATCTGCTCAGGGTTTTGAAGCTGTCCTTCTATTGCCCTCTGAGATATAATGCTAGTTGACTGGGCCCAAGCTTTTAGCTGCTGGTGTCCAAAACTGATATCTGCTTGGGATGGAGTTGCTGAAAGCTGGACATTAAATAAAGGCTCAGTAGAATGTGTCTGTGTATCTAAGGTTGGTATTAAATACATCCTTTGTTCCTATGTTGAGGAAGAACTACCTTGGGGTTGTGTTAAATAGGCTTATTGCTCAAAAGTCTATGCTACAAATGGTGGCACAGAATATAACTTCTGATCTGCAGAGTCTGCCACGTGTACAAGCTTGCTATCAGGAGGGCTTATTGTATATACCTGCTGAGTTATGAAGGTTGCATGTTCAGTTGTCTGGATGGTGTCAACAGTTTGTCCTAAATAAGACACATGCTCAAGAGACAGTGCCTTAGCAGGCTGTTCCATAGGTTGCACAGGGTAAGCTGTGTGGATTGCATATGCTGGCTGGTATGGAAAAGGTAACTGAAGCAGAGGTTGTACTAGATAAGCAGGCTACAGGTGAGACAGTGCCAAATACAAGGGCTATACTGCAGCTGGAACTGGATAAGAAGTCTGCATAGAATAAGCTGGCTGTGATCTCGGGGGCTGTACAGTGTAAAGAGGATGCTCCAGGACTGGCAGTGAATAAACAGACTGTTTATGTAGTGGAGCCTGAATTGGGTAAGTTGGCTGTGATGAGTAAGAAGTTAGTTCCTAGGGATATATCACAATATATCCTGCTGCTCAGGAGCCTTCAATGGGAAGGATGATAATTCTGCAGGTGGCCCTGCATAAGTGTGTTGAACAGAGTAAGAAGGTTGTTGCAGGGACTGAATCACACTTTCAGTACCTCTCTTTGGCTGCTGCTGACTTGCAAGAGCTTCAGACTCTTGCAGAATACAATCCTGCTGAATATTTTTCTGTGGAGATGCCAAAATCTTAGGTCGTAAAATTAATGACTGTTGCTAAATAGAGGCTTAGAAACAACGTTCCTTCAAATGCATGGTCTGGCTTTGCGGCACTGAAGAATCTGAAGTTAGAGACTCCTGATGTACCACTGGGCATGGTTGTGATACTGAATATATCTTTTGTGAAGGCTGATGGGCCCCTGAATGCCCCTCAGTGAAATTAAGAGGGAGCTGAGCTGTACCAGCAGCATTCTGTGCGCTGCTCACATGTAAGGCTGGTTGCCTCGCCTGGAGTTTGGACACGCCCATCTCCCCCTCCCCGCTTGAAAATTAGAATATGTCAATCATCTAGCTCCGCCTTGGAAATCCCCTTTGCACTCGGCACCTAGCCCACCTGGGAAATCCCCTCTGCACTCAGTACTTAGCCCACTCACAGGAAGTCCCACCTCCCTACCAATAGTAGCTCCCGCTGTCCACATCCTGTCTCCCCAAATCCAATCAAACGCCTTCACTCCCTATAAAACACCCCCACTCCTGCGAGGAAGCAGCGCGACTTCCCGGGCCCCTCGCAGTAGGACCTCTGAACCTCGCCCGGGAGCTGAATAAATCGGACTTGGCATCTAATTTTCTTGTGCTGGCCTCAGTTTCCTCGTTTTTTTTTACTTGTCTCCTATCTTCAAAGAATAAACTTTACAGGACAGAAGAATGATTCAACAAAGTTTGAGGGTGATTAACTGCTAAGAAACTAGAAGTCTGACTGCCATCTGGTGCTTTGGTTAATGCCTGATTCCCATTTCTAGGATCACGCTCAAGTTGAAGAGCAGCTGTTGGATGCTGGGAGGTCATCTGTGAAGCAGACAATGTCTGAGGAGAAACTGCAGAAAGATTGGTTGTGGCTGGGCATGGTGGCTCATGCCGGTAATCCCAGCAATTTGGAAGGACAAGGCAGGCAGATCACTTGAGGCCAGGAGTTCAAGACCAGCCTGGCCAACATGGCAAAACCCCATCTCTACTAAAAAATACAGAAATTGGGCAGGCATGATGGCATGCTCCTGTAGTCCCAGCTACTCGGGAGGCTGAGGTGGGAGAATCGCTTGAACCTAGGCGGTGTAGGTTGCAGTGAGCTGAGATCACACCACTTCACTCGAGCCTGGGTGACAGAACAAGACGGACGGACGGAAGGAAGGAAAGAAGGAGAGAGAAAAGGAAGAAAAGAAAGCAGAGAAAGGAAAGAAAATAAAAAAAAGAAGGAAGGAAGGAAGGATTGGTTGTGGAACTCCAGTAACTGAGAAGTCTGAAGTCATAGGTTGGGCTGAAGTTTTTCCTGCTTCAAAGGCCAGCTGGAGGTACAAAGAGAACTCAAATTATAATGGGACTGTCCCAGACAGATTGATAGAGAAAATAATGCTATGTTCCAAAAATTTCAGCAAATTATCAAAAAGGTGATAGGTATAGCATTAATCCTATAAAAATCCTAATATCATGAGTAAATGCTAGTTGACCGAATACACTAAGGAGTTGAGACTGCCCACGGTTTCTCATTTATTTCATGTACTACGTAACTCATTCAAACCCTGGCAAAGATTCTGAGTATCTGAATCTGACACCATCGCACACCTCACAGTGGAAGTCCCATGAGAAAGCCCAAAGGATTTGAGTATCATTCCTAAAATGAGTATAGATACTCTCTCAAGAAGAGAGAGTTGGCAGAAATAAATACAGATTAGCTGCAATAATTCCTAGAATTTGGCTACCATGCTCATAAAAAGACCCATATAATCAAAGTTCTTGCTTATGTGGCTTCTATATATTAGGTGAAAAGGACAGGCTACAAAAACTTATATGTACGTGATATACATGTGTATATATAAACAAAGTTATACATGTGTACATAGAAAAAAAGAAATCTAAAGGCTATACCTCAAACAAGTTGTCTCTAGAGAAATAACAAGTAATTTTTCACTTTCTCTTTTATAACATTATGGGATTTATTTTAAAATAAGCAAAAAATACTTTGATAATTATTTTTCTTTTATTGGCGACAGAGTCTCACTCTGTCGCCTGGGCTAGAGTGCAGTGGCGCGATCTAAGCTCACTGCAGCTTCTGCCTCCCGGGTTCAAGCAATTCTCCTGCCTCAGCCTCCTGCGGGGTTCAAGCAATTCTCCTGCCTCAGCCTCCTGGGTAGCTGGGATTATAAGCGTGTGCCACCACGCCCGGCTAATTTATTTTGTATTTTTAGTAGAGAGGGGGTTTCACAATGTTGTTCAGGCTGGTCTCAAACTCCTGACCTTGTGATCCGCCTGCCTTGGCCTCCCAAAGTGCTGGGATTACAGACAGGCATGAGCCACTGCGCCCAACCTAAAATTTTTAAAAATTTTTGTAACACATTTTAAAATAAACATACCTGTATGCTTATGTAGTTGAACCTAAGTTAAATTTAAGCACCCACTCAACACACTTTGCATTATAGGCTTAGAAAGAAGCAAATCAAACTACAACATGAGCTCAATTACAACTAGGCACCATATCACTTATAAATACTAGCCAAATATCTGGCACCATTAACTGTATCAAACTAAATCTACCCCTAGCAGATTTTAAATGCATCTGACATTTGTGAAGTACATGCTTTTCCCTACAAAAATGAGCTCTTTGAGGGCAAGGATCATGTTTATTTTACTTCATTATCCCCAGAAGGTAGCAATCATTAAAAATTTGATGATGAACTGATAATATACTAATCTCTTAAAGATACACCAGCAGCTACCCAAACCAGGCATTCTCTGCTAGCTAGCAGCTAAACAGGAACTTAGATCATCTCACTCTCAGAGAGAGAAGACACATGCAAGGTATGGTGGGAGGTGAGGGGAGAAAACCAGGTAACAGCAATGAAAAATGTAACCATTCATCCGGAGTCCATAACCTAGGGAACCAGGATACAGTTTTAATATATGAACTCACACACAGACTGTTAGTTAACTCTTTGTCAGAAATGAATAATGCTGACTTTAAGAGTCTTAACAGGCCAGGCACGGTGGCTCATGCCTGTATTCATAACGATTTGGGAAACCAAGGTGGGCAGATTGCCTGAGCTCAGGAGTTCAAGACCAGCCTGGGCAACATGGTGAAACCCGGTATCTACTAAAACTAAAATGCAAAAAATTAGCCAGGCATGGCAGTGTGTGCCTGCAGTCCCAGCTACTTGGGAGGCTGAGGCAGGAGAATCCCTTGAACCTGGGAGGCGGAGGTTGCGGTGAGCCGAGATCGTGCCACTGCACTCCAGCCTCGGGGACAGAGCGAGACTACGTATTAAAAAAAAAAAAAATTCTGAAAAACAAACACTTCTTATTTCTCCTACAGAAATCAACATGAACCAAAACAAGTCGAGTTTAGATGAATATGCTAAAGTTATGAAAATTTATGAAATACTATTTCTAATTAACTGCAATAGACATCCTTTCATGTTCAAATCAGGCTGGAAAAGTTTAATACAAAGAAGAAATCATTAATAAGAGGAAGAGATCAATCCTAAATAAATATTTTGTCCACATACACTGAGCTCTCTATTTCTTTTCCAATTATACAAGTAGTGTCTCCAGATTCTGGTTACACAATGTTAGGCACACTAAGAGGAGTGTCTTGGGTAAAGGAAATAAAAAAAAACTTTTAGCTTTCAGTGACCTTTCTCTAAACTATAACAGATTTATAAAAGAGAATCTTTGCCTGTCAGAAAATCTCGGCAGTGTTAAATTTGTTTAAATGAACACAGAGCCTCTAAAATGTGTCTTACCTTTATCTGTGGAACCTTCTGAACAGTTAATGGGGAAACCTGGGGTTGAGTCAGTTTTGGCTGCTTCTGTAACTGTAAAAATAAGGGGAAAAAAAGATTTAAGATAAACTTTCCCATTTATAGTAAATATACTGATTATATATTTAAAAATATAACAGTTCACCTCACCCCTGAAACTTGCTGGTAATGTCCTACTAGTTGCTGAGATGAATAAATTTGCCCTGGAACATTTATTTCAGCCTGCGGGATGTTAGAAACCATTTGAGAGCCCATCATTTGATTTGAGGAATAGGCTACACTGGGCTGACTTGAAGTATCTGAATGTGTAACTGATGCAGCTCCTGTCTCAGACAAATTGTCACCTATAACAAAGAAAATAAGTAACAGGTAGAAGGGAAAACTTGAAGCACAAAATGTCCAAATGGTATAGGTAATGGTGTCTCTTCAATGGCTTTTTTACTCTGAGAACCTGACATAGCTTCAAATAAAATATTTACGCTATAGCATTAATCAAAAACCAGCATGTAAACTCTGTATCAAACAATGAAATGTTGACATTGTGGTATAACTAAAATTTTCTTAGTAAAGGAAACCTAAAAACAGAGCATCAGATAAAAATCAACTCCATTTGGTGGCCATGTCACGTATATCCCTAACTAATCTACACTTGACATTAGGATTTCAGTAAAATATGTCATATTCTCTTTCTGCTATAATCTAGAATACTGTCTTTGTAGAACAATAGGTTATTATTATGCAAATACTGTGTCCTTTTGGAAAATAAAATGCATTACAGCAAGAAATTAGCAGAATTGTGCTAATTTTATACTTGAGCCTAAAATACAAAGGGTCTTAAAGACTAGAAAATTCCTTCTTGAGGAATAAATTTTACCTTTAGTTCTAAATTTTGTTTTTTGTTACTTTTTTTGAGACAGAGTCTCAGTCTGTCGCCAGGCTGGAGTACAATGGCACAATCTCAGCTCACTCCAACCTCTGCCTCCCAGGTTCAAGCGATTCTCCTGCCTCAGACTTCTAAGTAGCTGGAACTACAGGCATGCGCCACCACACCTGGCTAATTTTTTGTATTTTAATAGAGACGGGGTTTCACCACGTTGGTCAGGATGGTCTCCATCTCTTGACCTCATGATCTGCCTGCCTTGGCCTCCCAAAGTGCTAAGATTACAGGCATGAGCCAAGCTATCAAGCCTGGCCTAGCTCTATATTTTCTTTATTAAAAGATTTACACGGCTGGGCGCAGCGGGTCATGCCTGTAATCCTAACACTTTGGGAGGCTAAGGCAGGCAGATGGCTTGAACCAAGGAGGTTCAGACCAGCCTGGCCAATATGATAAAACCCTATCTCTACCAAAAGAAAATACAAAAATTAGCCAGGTGTAGTGGCATGCACTTGCAGTCCCAGCTACTCAGGGGGCTAAGGTGAGAGGATCACCTGAGCCTGGGGAGGTCAAGGCTGCAGTGAGTCATGATCACGCCAGTGCACTCCAGCCTGGGTGACAGAGCAAGGCCCTGTCTCAAAAAAAAAAAATAAAATAAATTTATGTTGGACCCTCAAAAATGATAATAAGGTCATTTTATTTATACCCTGAACAAAACCAGATGCTAGATTATAATCCTTCTGCAACTAGCACCTTAGACAAGTCACTTAATAAAACAGTCTATTTCAGGGGTTTTATAAAAGGCTTGATGAAATGATAGATAACAGAATGCTGTGAAAAACACAGTAGTGCTACTTAAAGATAAGCAAATACACAAAAAGGGAAAGAAACAAAATAAGCCATTGACCACTGCCCTTCAAAGTAAATAAAGATTGGGGAATACAGTTGCATGTTTGTTTGCTTTTACAAGCTGTAACTGTGTTACCTGTAACAGAGGAGCAGTGCTGCTGTGGTTTTCTTTGTAGAATCTGCTGTCTAACATGTTGATCAACTTCAGTTTCTTCACATTCAGCCCCAGTTTGCTGAGCAGGAGCAGGGGGCAAAGTTGTATTCTGGGGCTGAGGGAATACATTCCCCATAGACTTGCACTGAGAATCCCTGCGTTCTTCCAAGCAACCAGCAGGCTTCTTCTCCCTTGTCTTCTTTATCGGGGTCACCCGGTCTCTAATGGATTTAGCAACAGCTTTGGAATCACTTTCATGAAAGAACCCAGACTTGACCTACAAACAAAACATAATAAGCAAACAACTTCTTTAACATTTAAGACTTAACTCTTTTTTTTTTTTTTTTTTTTTTTTTTTTTTTTTTGAGATGGAGTCTTGCTCTGTCACCCAGGCTGGAGTGCAATGTCACAATCTCAGCTCACCCGCAACCTCTGCCTCCCAGGTTCAAGCAATTCTCCTGCCTCTGCCTCTGCCTCAGCCTCAGCCTCAGCCTCCCAAGTAGCTGGGATTACAGGTGCCTGCCACCGCACCCAGCTAATTTTTTTTTGTATTTTTAGTACAGACGGGTTTCACTGTGTTGGCCAGGCTGGTCTCAAACTCCTGACCTTGTGATCTGCCTGCCTTGGCCTCCCAAAGTGCTGGGATTACAAGCGTGAGGTATCACGCCCGGCCAATTTTAATTTTTTTTTTTTTACTAGCAGTTATTTTATGCCCCAAAATTCCAAATTAATGGTTAATCTATTTCTGTATTCTCTCTTAAACGAAGACATACATAAATGTCAGAGCCTCTAATTGGCACGAGAAAAATCAATACTATTACCAAGCATTGTTAAAATAATTCAGGCTTTAAAGAAAAACAAAACAATTTGATGTTTCGGTATATGCAGCCTTATCATGGGTAATTTAGAACTGCCATTCAGTTTTTTGAAGGATTAAAAAGGTTTCCTTATTCAGCAACATTAAGTGTCTACAATGTGCGTGGTACTAGGTACCAGATGTATGTGATGAAGTCAGTGCTTTGTCCTGTATGAGCACACTACCTGGTGGTGTGAAATGGACGTAACTTGAAATGAGCTAAAAATGAGCTGTTGTAAAGGTAGGAGCACATTGCATCTCTGGAAGAAAGAGAGTAAGTGTTGTCACAGAAGAATTCTATTTATTTTTTTAGTTTTATTTTTTTGAGAGACAGGGTCTCACTCTGTTGCCCAAGCTAGAATACAGTGGTATGATGATAGGTCACTGCAGCCTTGACCTCACAGGCTCAAGTGATCGTCCCACCTCAGCCTCCCAGGTAGCTGGTATCATAGGCGTGCACTACCACACCTGGCTAATTTTTAATTTTTTGTAGAGACGGGGTCTCCCTATATTGCTTGGGCTTTGGTCTCGAACTCCTGGGCTCTGGTAATCCTCTCCCCTTGGCCTCCCCTAAGTGCGAGGATGACAGGTGTGAGCCATCACATCTAGCCTGGAAGATAAATTCTGACCTGCATTAAAGCCAAAAAGGAACATGCACACTATTGAGGGATGTGCAGAAGTTTAGACCGAGGACCAACATTCTAGGCAGAGGCAAGTATGCTAACAGTGAAGTACTACATCTTACTAGGCATTAGAAGAGAGAGAGAAGAAAAGGTTCTGTCCTGTCATCTCAGAGGAACAGGACTGAGCAGTAGAGAAGATCATTTGAGGAAGTACCATGATATATCATTCTCGGTTCTGCAATCTACTTTAAGATGCTCCCTCTTAATCCCCAAACCTGTAAATATGAGATATCACTCCCATCACTGTGTTTGCTATAATATATAGCACAATTGGCCTTAATCTCAGCAGGTTATCTGTGTGAATCTTTTACCAGCTGCTGGCACTAGAAGGATTCAGTATGCCATTGCGGACTTTGAAGATGGGGTAGAGGCATGGGAAAGGACCGAAGAGTGACTTCTAGGAACTGAAAGTGGACCCAGCTAATAGCCAGCAAGGAAACAGGGACTTCAGTCTTACAACTGCATTGAACTGAATTCTGCCAACAACTTGGATGAGCTTGAAAGCAGATTCTTCCCCAGAATCTCCAGAGAAGAGCCCAGGTCAGCCAACACTTTGATTTTGGCATTATGAGATCCTAAGCAAAAAATCTAGCCAAGTCCACCAGGATTTCTGACCTACAGAATTGTGAGATAATAAATGGGTGTTGTTGGTCAGATGTGGTGGCTCACGCCTATAATCCCAGCACTTTGGGAGGCTGAGGCCAGTGGATCACCTGAAGTCAGGAGTTCAAGATCAGCCTGATCAACATGGAGAAACCCTGTCTCTATTAAAAACACAAAATTAGCTGGGCATGGTAGTGCATGCCTGTAATCCCAGCTACTTGGAGACTGAGACAGGAGAATTGCTTGAACCTGGGAGGCAGAGGTTGCGGTGAGCCAAGATCACACCATTGTACCCCAGCCTGGGCAACAAAAGCAAAATTCCATCTCAAAAAAAAGACCGGAGTGGGGGGGGTTGTTTTAAGCCACTAAATTTGTAGTAATATAGTCTCCTACTATTAGTCATTAGCAGACAGCGAAGATTTACCAGAAATATAAGAAAAGCCTCTCAGAAGAAGACAGAACAAGGCCAGTTGCAGTGGCTCATGCCTGTAATCCCAGAACTTTGGGAGGCTGAGGCAGGTGGATCGCCTGAGGTCAGGAGTTTGAGACCAGCCTGGCCAACATGGTGAAATCCTGTCTCTACTAAAAATACCAAAAAAAATTTAGCTGGACATGGTGATGGGTGCCTGTAATCCAAGCTACTCAGGAGGCTGGGGCAGGAGAATCACTTGAACCTGGGAGGCGGAGGTTACAGTGAGCCAAGATTGTGCCATTGCACTCCAGACTGGGCAACAAGAGCGAAACTCTGTCTTAAAAAAAAAAAAAAAAAAAAAAAAAAGATAGAATACAAAATCAACAAAGAGAAAACCAGCAACTTGGAGGAAACAGACTATGACAGAGATATAAATTAATATTGCATCTATAAAACAAAGAACAAAATGTTGACTTTAAAAAAGGAACAGACAAAAAATAAAAACAGACTCTTGAAATTCAAAACATGATAGCAGAAATGAAAAACTCAATAGAGGGCTTAGAAAGTAAAGTTGAGCCGGGCGCGGTGGCTCAAGCCTGTAATCCCAGCACTTTGGGAGGCTGAGGCGGGTGGATCACGAGGTCGAGAGATCGAGACCATCCCGGTCAACAGGGTGAAACCCCGTCTCTACTAAAGATACAAAAAATTAGCTGGGCATGGTGGCACGTGCCTGTAATCCCAGCTACTCAGGAGGCTGAGGCAGGAGAATTGCCTGAGCCCAGGAGGCGGAGGTTGCGGTGAGCCGAGATCGCGCCATTGCACTCCAGCCTGGGTAACAAGAGCGAAACTCTGTCTCAAAAAAAAAAAAAAAAAAGAAAGTAAAGTTGGTAATATCTGCCAGGAAGGAGAATAAAAAGACAAAATGGTAGAAAACAGAAAAGATAAGAATATTGAAGAATGAGTCCAAAACGCTCAACATCCAAATAATAGCAGTTCCAGAAAGAGAAAACAAAGAAAAAGAAATCATTAACAAAATACTTCAAGTAATTTCCCAAAAACTAAAGGATATGGGCTGATGGATGGAAAGGGTCCACTGAATATCCAAAACAATGGTTGAAGATAGCTGAAATCAAGATGTATCACTGAAATTTTAGAACACAAAGAAGAAAGAGAAGATGTTACAAGCTTCCAGAGAGGAAAACAATGGGTCATATGCAAAAGATCAGTAATCATAACAACTCTGGACCTAACAGCAACACTGAAACCTAGTAAAACCTGGAGCAATAACTCCAAATTTTTATTTTAAAATGCCAACATAAAATGCCTTTAATGACTGACTAAATACGAATATAGAAAAAAGCATTTCTTTTTGTTTGTTTTTTGAGATGGAGCCTCACTCTGTTGCCAGGCTGGAGTGCAGCGGAGCGATCTCAGCTTGCTGCAACCTCCGCTCCGCCTCCCAGGCTCAAGAGATTCTCCTGCCTCAGCCTCCCAAGTACCTGGGAGTACAAGTGTGTGCCACCATGCCCAGCTAATTTTTGTATTTTTGGTAGTGACGGGGTTTCACCATGTTGGCCCGGATGGTCTCCATCTCATGACCTCATGATCCACCCGCCTCAGCCTCCCAAAGTGCTGGGATTACAGGCATGAGCTACTGCATGTGGCTGGAAAAAAGGTGTTTTTATGCATGTAAATGTCAGAGAATTTAACTCCCATGTACTCTTTCATAAGAAGCTAGCAGAGGAAGGATGTCAGTGAAAAGGATACGCCAAGAAAGAGAAAGACACGGGATTTAGGAAACCCAAAATTAAATACAGAAGTGAAGCAGAGAGAAGTCTAGGAAGATGGTAACGGGAAATGCCAGGGTGATACTTGTGCACCGGATGTCCAAAGTAATCATTCCAGATTAGAACAGTATGATCAGAAAGACATGTAAAGACTATCATTTCAAAGTCCCCACTGTCATTGCTCCATCCTGCTTTTTAACCTGAGGCCAGAATGCCCAGGTGAGTCTGGCTCAGACAGGCTGTACTTGGCTGGTTTTGAGTATGTGCTGCCCCAGCTCCTGCACACCCTCCCACCAGCACTGCAGCTGCCTGGAGCAGGTGTAGACATGCATTTCACCCCATATAAGTTGCCTGCTGTGATCTACTATTGAGGGTGGGGGCTGGTCATAGAGAGATGAGAAGCGAAGAGTGAGAGCAACCCACTCCCCATCAAACCATGTGGTAACCAGACAGCTAATTTCTGGTTTGCACAATAGCCCTGCCGGTGCCCTGACTGTGCTGAGACGTGGGTGTATTTTCCTGGCCCCATTCAGAACCTTACCCTCTGACTTCCCCAGAAGCAGCTCTTGTAAACTCTTAGGGAAACTGAATCCAGACTCACTGTGACTGAGAAATTCTCTTCAGCTTATCCTCTCCTGGGCCTCTTCAACTAATTGTACCAATACTGCCTTTTCTCATAACCAGCTAGGTGCATGCTTGCCATTCAGTTTTCACAACAAAACAATATATTACTTAGGTTAACTGTGATGAAAAACAAAGAAATGAGTAACACAAAAGTCTGGGTAGAGGATCGGACGCAGTGGCTCACGTCTGTAATCCCAGCACTTTGGGAAGCCAAGGCAGGCAGATCACTTGCGATCAATAGTTCGAGACCAGCTTGGCTAACATGATGAAACCCCATCTCTAATAAAAGTACAAAAATTAACCAGGCATGGTGCTAGGCACCTGTAATCCCAGCAACTTGAGAGACTAAGACAGGAAAATCGCTTGAACCTGGGAGGCAGAGGGTGCAGTGAGCCAAGACTGTGCCATTATACTCCAACTTGGGTAACAGAGCAAGACTCTGTCTCAACAAATAAAAAAGTCTGGGTAGATATTACTCATGGTGATGAGGGAGGGAAATGCAAATGAGAGAGACACTTGGGTGGCTTCTAAGGTAGTGGTAATGTTCTATCTCTTAATAAATGTAGAGCTTTATTATTCTTTACACTGTACATACAAATTTAATATGCTGTGTCACAGCGATATAGTTCACAACAACATAACAATTTAAAGAAAATGAGAGGAAAGAAAGCAATAAGAAGGAGAAAGGAATCAACCCTGATATAATAAGAGGTGAGGGGAATAGTGGTATCATTAACTTACCATTTCATATGCTACTTCCTCAGGTGTATCTGTTTCTAAATTGAAACTGAATTCAAGAGCTTCATTGTCCTTGTGTTTGCCTTTCAATTTTTTAGGGTCTTCAACCCAGAGTCTTAAAGCCAGGGATGAATTTGAGCAATCATCTTCTTCTGCTAACTCCACCCTCAGTCCTGTATCCTCAGCAAAAAATGCGTGGTTTAATAGGTCCCTGATAGACAACCTAATAAACAAAACATATAACTCATTATCAGTTCTTCCAATCATAGCAAGATGTAGACCCTTTACTAAAAATTGTATGAAAGCAAAAAAAACTTATTTTACATATTCTATCCATTTTATCATTAATCTGCCTTGTTATAAAAAACGAATCTCCCAGCACTTTGGGAGGCCGAGGCAGGCGGATCACAAGGTCAAGAGATCAAGACCATCCTGGCCAACATGGTGAAACCCCATCTCTACTAAAAATACAAAAATTAGCTGGGTGTGGTGGTGTGCGCCTGTAGTCCCAGCTACTCGGGAGGCTGAGGCTGGAGAATTGCTTGAACCCAGGAGGCAGAGGTTGCAGTGAGCCGAGATCGTGCCACTGCACTCCAGCCTGGCGCCTGGCAATGGAGCAAGACTCTGTCTCAAAGAAATAATAATAATAAATAAAAATAAATAAATAAATAAATAAAAACCAAACCTCTTCCTTTAACAGATCCGGTGGAAGCAAAACAACAACAAATCTTATATCCAACTTATCAGGGATGCAAAGAAATTGCAACTAACATGCATATGGAATGACTTCAATTAAAAATGAATTATGGCTCACGCCTATAATCCCAGCACTTTGGGAGGCCGAGGTGGGTGGATCACGAGGTCAAGAGATCGAGACCATTCTGGTCAACATAGTGAAACCCCGTCTCTACTAAAAATACAAAAATTAGCTGAACATGGTGGTGCACACCTATAAGTCCCAGCTACTCGGGAGGCTGAGGCAGGAGAATTGCTTGAACCCAGGAAATGGAGGTTGTGGTGAGCCAAGATCGCACCATTGCACCCCAGCCTGGGTAACAAGAGCGAAACTCCATCTCAAAAAAAAAAAAGAATTATTTCCAGTAATATATCTAAATAACAAAGTTTAACATACATAAAATTATGCCTAATGAGAATTGGAGAAGTAGGTTAGTATATGTTAGGCAAATTTCCCTAAGCCACTTGCTTAAGTTATTCAGACTCAAACAGTAGATTCTTAGCAAAGGGAACCAAAAACTCTTACAGATTGATATACTCTAAAGTAAATTAAAAATTCAAACTCTTTTTACAAATGTTATAAATAGAAGTCACTGTTTCCATTAACAATAATCTAGTCAGTGTACTTTACTCTTTACAGAATGCCATGGGTGAAGCTAATGTGGTTCAGGAAAGTCCAGTGGTTTTTGTATTTAACTCTGGTTTTAGGCCAGAGTATACATATAATGGATACAACCCTAGCCTAATATTAGGGATTAACAATCTCTGAAGAGAAATAAAGGATATAGCTTCAAAAGATTTATTTACAAGCTGGGTAAGTTAATTTATTTTAGTTACTTTTAAAACAAATGCATCATATTTAAACTCTCTGTATTACAAGCCAGGGAGAACTGAAACTGATGTACTATATAGTCTACAGAGACATCTTCCTATACTACTTAAACAGAAAAAGTATATAGACAGCATGGTATCTTCTAAGTTGAGGATTTTCAACCCCCTGCATTTTTAGTGACCAAATAACAAATACTTAACTAAGACAGTGTCATAAATAGAATAAGCCATCATTCCATACAAAGTTGACTTTAAAAAAAAAAAGAAAAAGCTTGCTGAAATGAATTACTTTCAAGACTAAAGTAAGATGTGTTTAAGGAGGCACAACCAAGTAAAGCCCTCTGCTTCCCAAGAAAAATTTTTACTGTATTATTTATAGTAAATTTTTACTATAAAATTTTTATTATTTACAGTAAAATTATTTTAGTTTATTCGTTTGCTTGTCTGCTTGCTTGTTTTGAGATGGAGTCTCACTCTGTTGCCCAGGCTGGAGTGCAGTGGCACGATCTCAGCTCACTGCAACCTCTGCCTCCCAGCTTCAAGCAATTTTCCTGCCTCATCCCCCCAGTTAGCTGGGATTACAGGTACCCACTACCATGCCCAGCTATTTTTTGTATTTCTTTTTTTTTTTTTTTTTTAGATTTTTTAGGGAGTTTATTTTGCCAAGTTTGAGGATGCACACACCCGTGATGTATCCTCATGAGGTCCAGAAAACATGTGCCCCAGGTGCGGTTTCATCATGTTGTCCAGGCTGGTCTCAAACTCCTGACCTCAAGTTATCCAACTGCCCCAGCCTCCTAAAGTGCTGGGATTATAGGCAAGAGCCACTGTGCCCAGCCAGTTTGTTTTTAAGACAGTGTCTCACTCTGTTGTTCAGGTAAAAGTACAGTGACATGATCATAGCTCACTGCAGCCTCCAACTCCTGGGCTCAAGCAATCCTCCCACTTCAGCCTCCCTAGGGGCTGGGACTACAGGTATGTGCCACTACACCTGGCTATTTTTTTTGTTTTTAATCTTTTGTAGAGACAAGTGTCTGACTTTGCTTCCCAGGCTGCTCTTGAACTCCTGGCCTCAAGTGATCCTCCTGCCTTGGCCTCCCAAAGTGCTAGGATTGCAGGTATAAGCCATCGCACTCAGCCTATTATCCTTTCAGTCATTAAAATAATACCTGTTTTATGCAACTAACTTGCTCAAGATCACACGGGCTAAGTGTGAGTCCAGATTTAACTTTAAGTCTGATGTTGAAGCCTGTGCTTTTTCCAATATACTAATACTCAATGAATCCTTTTCAGTATTCCAATGTTCTTTGGTAATAGAACATATTTAAAGGCTGTATAAACAACGATCGGAATCTGAACTAAAAGAGCTACTTCTACATAGTATTTTTAGCCTCATTTTTAAAAGCATGCCTAAACTCCTATCTCAACAACAACAACAACAAACAAGCCAGTTAAAAATGGGCAAAAGAGTTGAATAGATATTTCTGCAAAGATATACAAACGCCTAATAAGCCCATGAAAATTTCTACAAAGGATGTATCACCTTTACTAATAATTATCAATAAGGAAGCAAAAATCAAAAGACGAACCCACCAATTTAAAGTCAGCAATTGTCTAAAGCTGAAACTAAAGGGAGTCAAGCCAGGCATGGTGGCTCATGCCTGTAATGCCAGCACTTTGGGAGGCTGAGGCAGGCGGATTACTTGAAGCCACAAATTGGAGACCAGCCTGGCCAACATGGTGAAACCCCATCTCTATTAAAATATAAAAATTAGGCTGGGCGTGGTGGCTCACGCCTGTAAGCCCAGTACTTTGGGAAGCTGAGGCAGGTGGATCACCTGAGGTCGGGAGTTTGAGACCAGCCTAACCTACTAAAAAATATACAAAATTAGCCAGGTGTGGTGGCACATGCCTGCAATCCCAGCTACTCAGAAGGCTGAGGCAGTAGAATCACTTGAACCTGGGAGGCGGAGGTTGCAGTGAGCTGAGATCAAGCCATTGCACTCCAGACTGGGCAACAAGAGTGAAACTCTGTCTCAAAAAAAAAAAAAAAACACCCATATATATATACATATATATATAAATTGGCCAGGTGTGATGGCATGTGCCTGCAATCCCAGCTACTCAGGAGGCTGAGGCAGGAAATTCACTAGAACCTGGGAGGCAGAGGTGGCAGTGGGCTGAGGGTACACTACTGCACTTCAGCCTGAGTAACAGAGCGAAACTCTGTCTCAAAAAAAAATAAAAATAAAAATTAAATAAGAAATAAAACCTAAAGGGAGGCAAAAGCTAAGAGTAATGGGAGTTGTCCATAAGGCAAACACAAATTGTGAGATAAATAAATGTTGAATACAATTTCTTGAATACCTACTTCTTCTATTCATATTAGCTTTGTCATAGTGACATGAGGATACATAATCAAATTTTTAAAAATCTGTCCACTCTCAACTGTTAGAAGCAAATTAACCTGTGCGGGCCTACTGACTGTTAAGCTGATGGGTGAAGGTGATGAAAATATCAAAATGTATACACACACACAAACACAACCCAAACATCAGTTCAAGAAAAATTCAGCACATGATATTCAAGTCTAAAATGGCAAAAAACATGCACTGATACACTTCAATCTAGACAGTATGGTTTGACTTCTACTCATAAGTCAAACTCAGCATGACTGAAAGATCAGAAAATGACTGAATGCAAGATAAGAGAAAAATGCATCTTTCACTTATGTCATTTTGCTACAATTGCACCCACCTTTCGGATTTGTTTTGACGAATACATCCTTCAATGATTTCTTTCACTTCAGGATCAGTGACTTTATTGAAGCTGGCTGGTTTTATGCCCTAGGAGAAAAAAATGGTTTCTACTAACAAATGATGCAGTTGAAAGCCCAAGTCAACATGACATTTATTAAACATTATTTTTATCACTAAACTATCCTCAAGTTTTAAATGAAATATGTGTAAATATATGTACATATGTATAGAGAGAGAGCATAAACTTAATAACCTTTTGACAAGGTTGTTGTCTACAAATAACAGTAAAAAAACATAAATAATTTAAACCTCTGACAACAGAGGTAAAGTTACATATATTAAGTTATATATATAGTATGCTTTTCAAATCTAGACCTGCAGGTATATGTGACAATATACAGAATCTAAAATTGTTCTCAGAATAATTAATGACATGGGGAATTCTCATAATGTATATTAAGTAGGGAAAAATAGGATCCCAAAATGTACACACAGCACATACAGTATAATCCTAATAATATGTATTTTTTTGAAATAAGAAAATAATGCTATTTTAAAAACCTGTTGAAAATTCAAAATAAAGCCTTCTCTATTTCAAACATTCCAATTTTCTCTCTATATATATATGTATATATATATTTTTTCTTAAGATAGGGTCTCACTCTGTCACCCAGGCTAAAATGCAGTGGCACGATCACAGCTCACTGCAGCCTCGATCTTCCAGGCTCAAGTAATCTTCCCACCTCACCCTCCAGAGTAGCTGGGACTACAGGCATGTGACACCAAACTCAGCTAATTTATTTTTCTTTTTGTAGAGACAAAGTCTTGCTATGTTGCCCAGTCTGGTCTTGAACTCCAGGGCTCAAACGATCCTTCTGTCTCAGCCTCCCAAAATGCTAACAGGCATGAGCCATCACACCCAGCCCAATTCAATATATTTCAGTCTTCTAGAATGGCTAGAAACAATGAGCAATCAGTAGATACATATGTATAAATGTGTGTATATTTGTATACATATGAACATATATATGTACTTATATATTTAAGAAATCTGTATTATTTTTATCCTTGAGCAATACTAAAATATTGAGAGTACATACCTCAAGCTAATTATCAGGTTCTAGGAATTCAATAACAAATAAATGAAGTCCAGACAATTCAAAATGTTTCTATAATAACTGTTGGCTGCCTGAATCTGCTTATTTTATATTGTTACCTTTTTTTTAAATATTCTAATCAGTGTCATGTGATACTATATTCTGTCATCTTTTATTTAAGCATTTTAGATTTTAAAAAATAACCCAAGTAAAATCATTGTAGTCAATAGAAAATTCCAAATTAAGCTGGAAGCAGAAAGGTACAATGTAAAGAATAATTGTTATGGAATGAGGCAATCTAACATTTACTTCTAGGCCTGTCATGATACCTCAAAGGACACAGAATCAGAAAGCCCAGTATTACATACTATATAAATCTGATGAAGTTAGGAGTTAATTTAGTCCCTAAAATGTAGAAGCTTAAGACAGATGGAAATCTGAATTGTGATATGGCATTTTTAATGACTTTAATACAAAATAATAAAGTCATTATTCAAAAAATAGACCTACTAAAACAGCAACTCAAAGTACTATAAAAAAATAAAAATAAAAATAAATTTTAGGCCAGGCACAGTGGCTCACGCCTATAATCCCAGCACTTTGGGAGGCTGAGGTGGGTGGATCACCTGAGGTCTGGAGTTCAAGACCAGCCTGACCAACATAGAGAAACTCCATCTCTACTAAAAAAAAATACAAAATCAGTCAGGAGTGGTGGCACATGCCTGCAATCCCAGCTACTTGGGAGGCTGAGGCAGGAGAATCACTTGAACCTGGGAGGCAGAGGTTACAATGAGCTGAGATCACGCCATTGCCCTCCAGCGTGGGCAACAAGAGCAAGACTCTGTCTCAAAATAAATAAATTAATTAATTAATTTTAAAAATTAATAAAATTGACCTGTTATTCTACCTATAGAAAAAGCCCTCTTTGATATTTCCAGTGATTACTCATTTCTCAGCCCTTGACAAATTACTGCCTCTCTCTGCTCCTAAGTAAAAACAGTTCAGGAGCTGTAACTTACAAAATTTAACGCAAAATTCTTTTCTATTTACAGCCATCCAAAATATGGGCCAAAACTAAAAACACATTCTAGCCTTACCTCTTTTTCTGAGCTCTTACACAAATTTTCAAACATACTTGAAAGTAGAATAGCATAATAAAAGTCCTGTGTAACCATCACCAGTTTCAACAACAATCAACATTTTGTCAACCTTGTTTCAGCTATTTACCCCCACACATATTGTATCCTGGAACATTTTAAATCAAATCTCAGGCATCATGTCATTTCACCCATAAATCTGCAGTTTACATCTCTAGCAAATAAGAAACTTTTTTAAAAAATCGTGTAGCTCAGGCACAGTGGCTCATGCTTATAATCCCAGTACTTTGGGAGGCCAAGGCGGGGAGATTGCTTGAGCCCAGTAGTTCCAGACCAGTCTGGGCAACATGGTGAAATCCCATCTCTACACAAAAGTACCCCCCCAAAAAAAAAAAAAAGCCAGGTGTGATGGTAAGTACCTGTGGTCCCAGATACCAGGGAGGCTGAGGTGAGAGAATTGCCTGAGCCCAGGAAGTCAAGGCTGTAATGAGCCAAGATCGTGCCACTGCACTCAAGCCTGGGTGACAGAGCAAACCCTGTCTCCAAAAACAACAACAACAAAAATCATGTAATCATCCCCCCTAAAATACTCATCAATTCCTTAATGTCAAATATCATCTGAAACCCAATCCATACTCAAATTTTCAAAACTGTCTAAATGATGTCTTTTTACAGTTGCTTTGTTCAAATCAGGATCCAAACAAGGTCCATCGGGTAGGGTGTGCATGAGCTGGCTCATACCAGCTCACAAATAATATTACGCTTTCAGAAATTCTGCAAGCCAATTGTTAAACATGATCATTTTTTAAAAACTAAATTATAAAAGTTTAAAATTAAATAAATTACATTAAAAGCCAAGGTAAGGCCGGGCGCAGTGGCCCACACCTGTAATCCCAGTACTTTGGGAGGCCGAGGCAGGCAGGTCACCTGAGGTCAGGAGTTCAAGACCAGATTAACCACATCTTTACAAAAAAAAAAAAAATACAAAAACTAGCCAGGTATGGAGGCACATGCCTGTAATCTCAGCTACTTGGGAGGCTGAAGCATGAGACTCGCTTAAACCCGGGAGGCGGAGGTTGCACCTACCACTGCACACCAGCCTGGGTGACAATAGACTCTGTCTCAAAACAAAACAAAACACAGCCAAGGTAATAAACACTGAAAACATACTCCCTAACTATTTTATGACAGTTGACTATTATTTATGTGTTTGAGGTTTACAGCTAGTCTATCTGTATGGTAGAAATAACTATACAATGAGTGCAACACTGCACGTCTTCCCAACTCTCCATTCAGTGAGGTCACACTGGTAACTTGAAATCAGCCATGGTGGGAATATTTATACCATAAAAATCAGCAAATACGAGAAGTCAGCATTTTTTTTTTTTCCAAAGAATCAGTTGTTAAACATTTACCAGCTCATCACTACTCTTAAGTCTCTTTCTTGTATTCTATAAAAGCCTTCCTTCCTTTTTCTTTATTTATTGGAGAAACTAGGTCATTTGTCCTATAGAATGTCCCACATTCTGCATTATAGCCTCATTTCTCATTGTCTCCTTACACAAACATATAGAGTCAGACAGACTTAGGGTCAAAACCCATCATTATCAGTAGCTGCGGGAAGGTAGGCAAGGCACAACCTCTGATTCTCAGTTTCTTCATCTGTAAACTGAAGATTGCACCTATCTTGTAGGGGATAAAGATTCAAGTATGTGGTGGCTAACACCTGTAATCCCAGCACTTTGGGAGGCTGAGGCAGGTGGATCATGAGGTCAGGAGTTAGAGACCAGCCTGGCCAACATGGCGAAACTCTGTCTCTATAAAAATACAAAAATTAGCCAGGCGTGATAGTATGCACCTGTAATCCCAGCTACATGGGAGGCTGAGGCAGGAGAATCACTGGAATTTGGGAAGTGGAGGGTGCAATGAGCCGAGATCACACCACTGCACTCCAGCCTGGGTGACAGGGCGAGATTCCATCTCAACAAACAAACAACAAAAAAAGTATGTGGTATACCACATGCATTAAAAAACAGTACCTCGGCCGGGCGTGGTGGCTCAAGCCTGTAATCCCAGCACTTTGGGAGGCCAAGGCGGGTGGATCACGAGGTCAAGAGATCGAGACCATCCTGGTCAACATGGTGAAACCCCGTCTCTACTAAAAATACAAAACATTAGCTGGGCATGGTGGCACGTGCCTGTAATCCCAGCTACTCAGGAGGCTGAGGCAGGAGAATTGCCTGAACCCAGGAGGCGGAGGTTGCAGTGAGCTGAGATCGCGCCATTGCACTCCAGCCTGGGTAACAAGAGTGAAACTCCGTCTCAAAACAAAACAAAAAAAACCCAGTACCTCCTCACATCTGTTAGAATGGCAATTATCAAAAAGATGAAAGATAAGTGCTGGTGAGGATGCAGAGAAAAGGGAACCCTTGTACATTGTTGATAGGAATATAAATGGTACAGTTGTTATGGAACATTGTATGGAACTTCCTCAAAAAAACTAAAAATAGAACTACCATAGCAATTCTACTTCTTGGTACATACCCTAAGGAACTGAAATTAGTATGTCAAACAGATATTTGCACTCCTATGTTCACTGTATCACTATACACAATAGCCAAGATATGGAAATGACTTAAATGTTCATCAGTGAATGAATAAAGAAAATATGGTATATACACACAATGGAATACTATTCGGCCTTAAAAAATAAGAAAATTCTGTCATTTGTGACAATGTGGATGAACCTAGAAGACATTATATTAAGTGAAATAAGCCAGCACAGAAAGCCAAATACAACATGATCCCATTTATACATGGAATCTAAAAACAAGGAACTCATAGAAGAGTAGAATGATGGTTACCAGAGACTGGGAGTTGTAGGGGAGGAAAT